AGCCCTTTGAAGCTGCAATGAAACTGCAATTTGGACCTTCAAACCCGTTGATCCCCATTGAAGTCAACTATATGGAGAAAATCCTAGAATGTTTTCCTCAAAAACCTACAATTTTTTTATTTATTTTTTTTACCATTTAAAGCAAGACATGAACATCTTGGTTGACATGGGGGTGAGTAAATTATCAGGACATTTTTATTCTGGAAGCTAACTAATTCATCAGAGGTGGAAAGTAAAGAATTACATTTACTCTCATTACTGTAATTGAGTAGCTTTTTTGTGTACTTTTCTACTTTTTAGTAATTTTTAAAATCTGTAATTTTACTTTTACTCAAGTATATTTTGTTATATATAGCTACATTTTAAAACATTAATTACTGAGTAAAAAAAATCACTCCCTGCGGCAGGAGAACAAACTGGCGCTAAAATCACAAGAAAAATGCAGACAGACAAGACAGGCGTTAAGGTGCAGAACCAGCTGAAAACAAAACCCTGTCATAGGCTATTCTGCTGAAGTTGAACTCGAAGGAAATGAAGTGAACCCCTGGCCATATTTAAGCTATATTATGCAGTGTAAACTGTGTTTACCTAGGGAGACCAAACTAGCAGCTTATAAAATCTCGACATCAACCCTTCGCAAGCATGTATAGGTAAGGTAAATACTTGCATTGTTGCATTCGTGGTTAAAATGAAGCTTTGTCAGTTTAGCAAAAGGTTTTGCACAAATTAGCCAAAAAGACAGTGGTGCAGGGTGTGCGATTATATATTGTTTTAACGATGTGCGATTTGACATTATCAGTATTTTGCCAAAAACCAAACAAAACACTCCTACAGAGTGCCGTGACTAGTGTGCGCGCGCATTTAGAGTGCATTCTTTCACTGCGTGATTCAGTCTGCCAAAATGCATTTAGAATGATCACAAAATTGAAGATATAGGGGCAGAAAATGTATATATGAATCAAACAGGGTAATTTAACAATTAAATAAATCTTATTATTAAGATTTAATAATGTAGTCACGGCAATGTATACACTAGTCACGGCACTCTGTAGGAGTGTTTTGTTTGGTTTTTGGCAAAATACTGATAATGTCAAATCGCACATCGTTAATAAATCTTATTATTCTAAATATATATATTTATATCATTTCATATAGTAAATCAATATCACGAAGAGTGCCGTTTTTTTTCTTTTCATGATTACATATAGATTTTTTACAACAGTTCAATAAACAAGAAGTTAATTAAGAGACTTGCGTTTTAGACACCAGATTGCCTGTTTTTGTTCTATTTCGACAACAAAAATAATTACAAACACAGCTACCATAGCACAGTTTTGCGTCTCTGAGCAACATGATGGTGTTTCGTTCCTGAATGAATCAACCGTTTAAATGATTTGGTTCAACCGCAGTGATTAACTTATTAACAGTGACTTGCTGACACCTACTGGTGGTTTTAATTTTACATTTAAAGTATCTTTTTATTTTTTATTTATAATTTCAAATGAGTATTCAACATTTTATGTCTTATATATCAAAACATTATTTCTGCATTTGTATCTGCAGGTTAAATGCATTCATGTCCTGCATTAAACAGTGTGTAAATACATCTAAATGCCACTTCCGATGAAGCTTCTGTGTTTCCTCTGCATTGCAAAGATGAATTTTGTTGATACTGATTTAATTTGCCTGGTAACAGCACAAATGTCTTATTATTCTAAATAACCGATTCCTTTAATTAAAAACAACTGGTTTGAGATTTATAGGCCTGTCTATCCCATTTTTGCCTCCCTCCCACTGTTAAAATGTAACTAAGTCATTTTTACTTAGTAAAAGTACCAGTCTAAAAATCTACTTAAGTAAAATTTAATTAATGTAATGGTACTTTTACTTGAGTAGAATATTTTCGTACTCTTTTCACTGTCAGTGTGTTTGTTTTGCTCCCCTTGTGCTCCCAGTGACCCAGTTTCTCCCGTGTCTGATTTTGTTCATCATGATTCACCCGTGTTCCCCTGATTATCCTTGTTTAGTTCCTGTTACTTAAGCCCTGTGTTTTCCTGTGTCTAGCGTCTAGTGTTAAACGTCTATCCCCTGTGCTACGTTTATGTTACTGTGGATTATTAAAGACTGTGGATGGTACTCTCCTGCATTCTCCTCGTTCCTCGTTTCCTCTCTGTAGGCAGCTGTGACAGAACACTAGTCCAAATGCAATATAGTTTATCAGCGTGTTTTCCCTTGTTTTGTTTCCGTTGTTTCCTCTATGGATGCCTTCACCCGCCCTGAATTCCCCCTCCTCCTGCTGGAGCAGGGGGAGAAATCGTTCGAGGGCCATACCTGACTGTTTCTGGCCATCGCCCATCTCACCAGCTACCCGGACAACGCGCTTTTACGATGCCAGTCTGAACCCCGCGTGCAGAGCGCCGTCGTCCGAAGATGGTCCTTGAGCGGATTTCGCCATCTTTTTGTAGAGTGGATACTGGCGAGAACCGTCTGTTCAGAGGAGGAACTCGCCAGTTCCACTCCGGACCCAGAGCCCAGCCCACCATCTCCCTGCTGTAAGAAGCCTAAGCCCGAGCCTACCGTTGACGGAGAGCCCGAGACCACCGCGACCGATGAGCCATCGCCGCAAGGGGCGACAGAGCTGAGGATCGCTGCGGAGCTGGAGCAGCTTGTGACGTCAGACCAGGTTCGAGAGCTGGCTACAACGCCCGCCACGAGGAAGCAAGCCGTGGACAGCGAAATCGTGGAGAGGAGCTCCGCCCACTGCACCACAGCTGAGGGTGAGCTGATTTTGGATCTGAGACTGTGTAACTCTGGAGGAGAATGAGGATTTATGGACCGACCTGCCCCCTCTCCTCCCCCTTCGTCGGAACACTCTGTCAGTCCTGTTCCCACGTCTGGCCCAGGGAGGGCCTCAGTTCCTGAGTTTGGCCCAGAAAGGGCTTCCTTTCCCCAGATCGGCCCAGAGAGGGCTCCTGTTCCCACGTCAAGCCCAGAGAGGGCTTCTGTTCCTGCGTCCAGCCCAGAGAGGGCTTCAGTTCCTGAGTTCAGCCCAGAGGGGGCTGTTGTTCCCAAGTTCAGCCCAGGGAGGGCTTCTGCTCCTGTTTACAGCCCTGAGAGCCCAGAGGCTCAGAACTGCCCACCCACCCTCCCGCTCCTGCCTTCTCCACCACTGTCGTCTGACAGCCCTTCTGCTCGCCCTCAGCCCACCATCGGTACAGTGCGAGCTCCGCGGGTCTGCCAGTCTCCATCGTTGGCATGGCTGGAGAATCCCTGGCCTCTGCCTCAAGCCTCTGAGTCCCAGACGCCGCACCGGCCCGTCGATCCAGCGGCTTTACCATGGCTCCTAGCTCCCTCCTCTCCGCCGTGGCCCATCAGTCCACTGGCTCCGCCGGGCTCCCTCATCCCTCCGGCTCCGCCTTGGTCTGTCGTCGACCATCCTTCGCCTCGGGACTCCACTCCTCCGGCTGCGCCTCATCCCGCCATCCCTCCGGCTCCGTCAGGCTCCTCCTTTCCTTCGGCTCCACCTCGGTCCTCTGTCACTCCGGCTCCACCGCGGCCTTCTGGATCCTCCTCGTCACCCTGACTCATCGGCGCTCCGTCTCTGCCTTGGGCTCCTCCGCTACCTGCTCCGCCACCGTTGGTTGCCCCCCTGGAGTCGTCAGCCCTTCCTCCTCCATGGCTCCTCCCTCCATCGTCTCCTCCCTGGACTCTGTCTGTCATCCTCCTCCCGGGAGTCCGTCTTCCGCCTGAACCTCCACCAGTTTTGTTTGCATGATTTCCTGCCAGCCCTTTGCCGTCCCATTTCCATCCCACTTCCACTCCTTTGTCCTCCTCCTAAGTCCCCCACCATCCCACCCTTTGTTGTTTCTGCGGCGCGAGGACACGCCGTCCGGGAGGGGGGCGAACTGTCATGCCCATGGACTGTCAGTGTGTTTGTTTTGCTCCCCTTGTGCTCCCAGTGACCCAGTTTCTCCCGTGTCTGATTGTGTTCATTTGATTCACCTGTGTTCCCCTGATTATCCTCGTTTAGTTCCAGTTACTTATATATAAATACACACACATACAGTATATATTTGGAAAATATTTCCATATATTCCATGTATATATTTATATTCATATAATTGAGATTACATATACATATTTTAAATGTATAAACTTAACATATTTTTCTTAAATATATACATGCATGTGTGTGTATTTATATATAAATATACACAGTACACACACATATATTATGTAAACAAAAACTTTTATTTTGGATGCGATTAATCATATATATAGGTGAATTTACACAAATTGATTTTGTTCAGAAGGACATTTAACATTGTGAAGGTTTAGAAGGTTCAGTTAACAGTGTGCCTCGGTGTCGGTAGTCTCAGCCTTTTGTGATGGTTCTATTTTTCCCTCATTTTTCCTGAGTGACACAGTTGGATCTCAATATCAATATCTGAGCACAAATGATTGCAGACTGCAGAGCATGCAAGACAGTCAAAGAAGGATTCAAGGCTTTGTCAAGAACAGTGAGCATTTTTACTGCTCAGGACAAACCAGGAAGTCATATATACACTATCACAACAGGCTGCAAAGAGTCATTGATGCTTGAGGAGGTATTGAAAACCAAGGCTATGTAAAGGCCATGTGTTGTTTTCAGGGCCTCCTGCAGGAATGTAATCAGCTGTGTGCCGAGTATCTCTTCCAACCTGACAAGCACTATGATGTGTCCTACGACACTGGGGACAAAAGCATTCAGTGTGGACGGCACGTAGACATCTTCAAACTGTGGCTCATGTGGAAGGCAAAGGTATGGCAGACAATCTCCTTATTCAAACTAAATGTGTTTTCAACCACCATCAGAAATGTGAGCTGGAAAATGACAGCTCCCATATATATAAAAAAAAAAAAAAATGCTTTTTTTGTGGAGAAGAAAGATTGTTTGAAATATCCAGAATTGAGAAGTAGAAATTGTACACCAATTATTTAAGAAAAACATATTTTATTTATTATTTTATATAACTATATTCTATTATTCTTTTTCTGTGTGAGCCTTTAATTTCATCTACTTTTAAAATGTTTATTTCTCTATTGTGCTTCACAAAACACCCAAAGGAGCTACAAAGATTTGACAAAATGACAGAAATAGCACTAAACCTTGAAGCACAACTATCCAAACACTTTTTTTTCTTTTTCTTATCTTATAGACAAAGCAAATATTAAATACATTCTTTGTAGGGTTCTGAGGGTTTTGAAGTGCAGATCAACCACTGTCTGGAAAATGCAGAGTATCTTTACTACAAGCTGAAGAGAAGAACAGACTTTCAGCTTGTCTTCAAAGGAAAGGTAAGTGCCATGTTTCTGTAAACTTTCAGCATATTTTAAGATGAAAATTAGGGATGCACTGAAATGAAAATTCTTGGCCGAAGCCAAAGCCGAACAAAATGAAACACTGGGCCGAAGGCCGAATACCGAATACGGTTTTTCACATTTTTCCCCCCTGTAGGCCTATTTTCACCATTGCATTAATTAAATTGCCAAAATGTGCCTATTACTGTTTTGTCCTGCTTTTCAAATTAAAAATCAATTTAAAAAAACAACAATTTAAAAATATTTACTTAACACTGAACATTTTTTAACATTCTAGCAGACATTATACCAACAAAGCACAATTTAACTTAAAATTAATAAGTAAAAAAAATATTTTTTGGCCATTTTTGAGACTTGAATCAGGCATGTTTTTTTTACTGTACAGATAAAGGCAGCCTTACTGAGCAGAAGAGAATTCTTTTAAAACATTAGAATATATTACAGATCCCAATTTGAACACTATGTGTGAATGTTATAATAAATGTATTAATAGAGCTATTGTAGGGTAATTATTATTAACATTATTATTATCTTACATTTTATTTTACAGAACGACAGTAAAATTACAATACTATCATTTATGAATGTCGATGGAGTTGTTGCTTTTGCTCTGCTTTTATTTTGGCAGAAGCCCGCAGGAAGATCTCAGTGCTTCTTTTTGTTGACAACAGCATGCAGATTTATAAATGATTCTCATTACGAATTTGGAAAGATGTTTGTCGCACGTATAACATTGTCACATGCCTTTACATAATTTCACAAAAATGTTACTGAGCAACTGACGAGTAGGCCTAACAAGTTCAGCACAGATTTTCCTCGCGCTTTGGACTTTGAACCGTCAGAATACAGGCAATTCGTGCGTGCATTAGAAAATCTAACATTCTGCAGTTTATTTACTAATCGTTTGAGGTAATTTCGCGATTTCAATCATCATACAGTAACCACCAGCATTAGCCACCTCATCTTCTCATCAGAGACATGTGTTGCAGCACTAAACAGTCTCTCGCTGTCGGTGCTTCATGCTTGTAATGATTTCTGCATCTTTCTCTGATAGTTTTAAATACTTTCACA